AATTTCTTCCTCTAATAAGGAAGAAGCCACCAGCTCCTTTCATGCTGAATCTGGCCCTGCATGGCTCCAGGACAGCAGTACTAACCTCTTCCTTCGAGCAGACAACGTTCCGGCTGAGCCACTGGTAGCACAGCAGGCCAAGGATTCCTGTCTTCAGGATGAGGTTCCTGGGGTGGAGCAGGGCCAGAAACCCCTGAGTCCAGGGGACAGAGGGGCAAGGAAGAAGCCACCAGCTCCTTTCATGCTGAATCTGGCCCTGCATGGCTCCAGGACAGCAGTACTAACCTCTTCCTTCGAGCAGACAACGTTCCGGCTGAGCCACTGGTAGCACAGCAGGCCAAGGATTCCTGTCTTCAGGATGAGGTTCCTGGGGTGGAGCAGGGCCAGAAACCCCTGAGTCCAGGGGACAGAGGGGCTGAGCCCCACAGATGGGGTGCCCAGCTCCAAAACCTCCCCACACACAGCAAGTAGGGGTGCAGGACACTCCCTCTGCTATGGCCCTGGACAGCCCACCTGCACATCGCCACATGGACCTGTGTCACAGGGTGGTCTTGCTTCTCCCACTTTGCCAGACAGTTGTACAGGTGGGGCATCAGCGCGTTGAAGAGTGACACCACGAGGGGCAGGACCAGCAGGGTGGCCTCTTGCTGCCACCTGCCACTGCCCTGCGCTCGCTGGTCCTGCAGAACCTGGTGAGTAGCCACCGAGGTGAGCTGCTGTTGGCAGCCAGGTGTTCTTGAGGAGGGCAGCAAACACCGAGGCCAGGAGCAGAACTGCAACCAGGCTGCCCATCTCCCTCCCCAGTACTGCAACCCTGTCCCCCAACCCCAGGGAACCCAGGGCAAGTTGGCACTCACCATATGCATGTGCTCTGATAAGTAGTGTACAGCCAGCACACAGCCCAACACCGAGCTCAGCGTTAGGACCCAGGCCAGCAGCACCACGGTGTAGTGTGCCAGGCACTGGCAGAGGCTCCGGGAGTGGGGACGAGAGCGTAGCTCTGCCAGCAACTCCTGGAAGAGAGCAATGCCAGTGCTGCCCAACGTGCTCTGGGTCCAGAGTGAGGGTTTGTCCTGCTGCACTGCCATGGTACCCGGAGAGCTGACAGACACAACACTGGTGCAGGGTTGGGGTGGGGGGTGTTTGCAGCCGCAGGGCTCCCTGCTGCAGCGAGTGGGAGATCAGTGCTGAGCCCTGGGGTCTATACCAGCTTTGCTGCAGGGCACAGGGCCAGCTCTCTCCCAGCTCCTCACCTTCAGCTGGGTGCAGATGTTCTCACACTGCAGCTTCACAGAGCGCCTTTGGATCACCTTGAAGTCCCAGGTGCAGAAGACTTTGATGGCCAGGTCCTTCGCGGAGCTGCCCACGCGGTAGCTCTCTCGAAAAGAGCAGAACACACTGTGGAGAGGGTGAGGGCATCAAGGATCATGAAGGGCGAAGGCTGGCAGGGCCACAGGTGCTGCCAACCCACCTGTACACCAGCAGGATGCAGGTGACTAAGAAGGAGACCCCAACGCTGAACACATAGGCTAGTGGCATGTTGTAGGGGAGCTGGGGGGCTGCGAGGAGGCACGCGCTGCCGTCGGGGACAGAGGCACAGGGGTCATTGAGGGTGACGTTGCTGTAGTAGCCATAGTACAGCAGGGAGTGTGTGAAGTACCCCTGTGGGAAAGCATGTGATGGGGTCCACAGTGACCTTGTCAGTGCCCGTGGCTCCCTGCCCAGCCTGACACTCTGTGCCAGCCTCAGGGTCACAGAGCCCTGGGGTGGGGCAGCACTGGACACCCCCTCTACACCCACAGCACTGGTGGTTCTGGGGCCCCAGTGGAAGGCAGGGACTGGGGCATCACTGTGGTGGGGATGTGTGGCTGCACCCCAGGCTTGGAGCAGCCCCTGTCCCAGGGTGCACAGGCACTGGTGCGTGGGCTGTACTTACTGCTCCCGTGAGGAGCTCAAGGCCACTGAAGGATGGGGAGCTGGCCGAGGCAGGTGGGTATGCAGCCTGCAGGGCCACCACGAAGGTCAGGAGGATGAGGAATGAAAGGAAGTTGAACATAACAAGTGTCTTGAGGAAAAGGAAGTAGGAGAGGACACTGGAGCCGAAGCGGCCGCTGATCTGCTTCAGGGGGTAGTGCCAAGGC